ATTATTTACGTGCAGCATGGAGACAGTGAGGCAATAACGACGTGGCAGGAATGCGAGAGTTTTCCGAATTTGGGCAGCAGTGACGATGCGACACAGAGAAGGGAAGCAGAGGAAGAGGAAGAAGCAGCTGAAACCGAAGAAGACGAAGACGAAGACGAAGCGGAGGTGAAAGCGGAAGAGGAAGAGGAAGAGAAGGCGGAAGCGGAAGAAGGCGAAGAGGACAAGGAGATTGCAAACTGCTGGAAAGAAAAGGTATATCAGTACAAGGTGACTGTATCAGCAAAAGATCTCAGTCCTGGAAGCTATGCCCGAACTTGGCGACAGCCAGCGAGACAATGAAATGAGCAAAATTAGCGGCTTGCGTGTTTTTATGGATAAATACATTTTTAGCGAATACTTTTTTGTATCGTTGTTTATTTTTATGTGAATGGGGAGGCAACAGTTAGGGAATCACTCTGCCGCGCGCTGGCGAATGATCATCATGTCCAGTGATATCCCAGTGGCACCTTTTTTGTTTGAGTGTGTGTCCGAGGTTGCAACAGGAATGATTGCAGCTTGTGCGTGTGTGCCAACAATACTTCATAAATGACTAGTGTTGAAGTTTATCGTCGTGTGTAGTGAGGGAGTGTGGGCAAAAAAAAGGGTGTGCTTTTGCAGGCTGAAGTGAGTTTACCAGCGGCGAAAAGCAATGGCTTGGTGCCCAGCGCCGCACATAAGTCATGGGGCAAACTGAATTTATGCTGTTTTTTTCCCTTTGCGTTGGTGTAATGTTTCCTTTTTTGCTTTCTTTGGGTGTGTGGTGGGGGATGTCTGGGGAACAGTGGGGGTTTTTGTTTTTCTTTTATTTATTTATTTTTATTTTTTTGGTTGCGGCGCTGCTGGGTTTCCGTGTTTTGCCACGGCGTTGGCTGCGGTGCCGTCTCGAGCCTCACTTCTCCTCCGCTTTTTTTTCTCTCCGTCCTGCAACTTTGCTTGGCTGCTTGTGCTTGTGGGTGATTGTGCGGCCGCACTTCCTTCACCTTTCTCCCTCTTTTCATTGCATAGCCGTAGGCTCACGCACACACCGTCATGGCATCTAACTCTTGTGGTTCACGTGGACGCTTCCTTCGCCGTCGGCGCCGGGGGCGCCGCGTGTCTGGCGGCTGCTGCCGCTGCCCTCTTCCGTGGGCATGAAGAGACGGGCAGAGGCACAGTGGGAGGGAAGAAAGGGAGAGTGCGCCGTGGCCCAATCCCGACTGCCGCTGCCGCCTTCGCCGGCTGCGCCCCGTGCGGTCGAAGTCGCGTGGCAAAACGGCCCCTCGCGGAGTTTAAGTGCTGGGCGCTCTGCATGTTTTCATCGTGGCGGGCACTGCGGCGGCCTCCTCCTCCTCCTGTTCGCGGGTGGGCAGTCGCCTGGTGTTCTCTGCCCTTTCTCGCCTCAGCGGAAGGCGGCACAAAATGCCGCCGCAGCGA